TTCTGTGGAGGGCATTTTCTTGACTTGAAACCAAAGTTGTTGCTGTCAACGTTGTCGTCGTCGTTGTTGTGGTCGGTTATGTTCTTATCTTTGTTCTGCTCGAAGAAGAAGGCTTTCCAACGCATACGCTTGATTACACTTTCGGTTTTTTCGATAAGTTTCTTGAGGTAGGAGTTTCTTGACGGAATAGGAATGTTCTTCATTGAATAGTTGAATCTTGTTTTCTCCATTGTGGATAATGGCGGTCGGCGAAAAGTGCTCTTAAACTGTTGTAATAAATATCTTATTAACCGAGCGCGAGGGCCGTACAGGAAGTTATGGACCGAGTTTTTTTCCACTGACTTATGGCCAGAGGGCGTAGCGCGAGAGCCATAAAAAAGTGGAAAAAACGTGGTTCCATAACTGCCCGTACGGCTCGAGCAAGCGAGGTTAATAAGATATTATTACATGATTTTCTGCAAAACGTAGCAATACAAAACCTATGAAAAAAGTATCGTACCAAAAAAAAGTTAAAGTCAAATTTCGCGCTACGAAAATGCAGTTTCGGAAAACAAAGAATTCCGAAAGTAAACCGAATGCAATCGCTACCCGAAATCATGTTGGGCGGGAATCTAGACATCGTTGTTTTCTAGAAGAACGCCAAATTTAAAGTGTTAGACTACGTCTCCCTGACATTTAGTTAATACAATGTTAATAAGTTAATAGTAGATTTCAGTTTTAAGTGATTCGTCAGCAGTTTTATAGTTTGGTTTAGAAATTGAAATATGCCAAGTCATGTATTTGTAGTTTTAGATAAACAGTAAAAAGAGTTTTGAATTACCAGTAACTTTAATGTCCAGCAAATTTTATGTTGTAGGGTTAGGATCAATATTGAATTTATAGAATGATTGCGAAATGTTTAAATATCATTATTATTGTATTTTTATAAGTAATTACTTTAGTTTAAGTTTATGACGCAGTTTAAATAATGTTCACATGGTCGATATTTGTAGCATAAGCCAAGGTCGTCATAAACGGGGAATTCCCCTCAGTATGGAGTTATGCCATAATTGGTTATTGTTTTAGTTAATATCAAATTATTATTTGGGTTTTGTCTAATTCTGTAAAACATATATCAAGCAATGTAACGAGTAGTAGTTAGTTAGTCCGTCCAGAGCATTAAGCAACTGTGCTAGAATAAAGAAGAGAATCGAACAACTAAGAGGTACGTTTTCACTGCCGCGACGGTCCCTTGTGGTCCAACAAAAGAATCGACAGTCTTGAATGACTTAATAAATTGATGAAACCTATGCTTGAAACAAATATGGTTCTGTTGAAGATGACCTTTGAACGATAATTTATCGGAAGTTCGATAATGAAGATAAAAAATATATTTTTGTATACAGTTTTCTGTGATATGTGAAGTTCGAGTAGTCCGGGTTCAAACATCGATTATTGAAACAATGTTGATTATTGTAAAGTTATGTAGACTACTTTTTCCGAGAAGCTTTCAGTTTACTTTAAATCAATTGACCTTTACAGATTATAATATTAAACT